TTAATTGGTTTTTAATATCTTTTGTCAAACCTTTCCAAAAGAATCTGTCTCTCACATATTTAATTACCTTATAGGGTCCTTGATGATCCATTTCGACATGCACTTGATTTATAATATCTTGTCTCAATGCTTTAGGTAAATATATTACTTCTTGTAAATTCGTTTTGTAATATAATACATCATTTTTCAAGCTATACCTTTTAAATTTTTTGTTTTGTTTTATTATGGAAGTATTTAATGTCTTTAACTTTTCAATAATAGCCAACGACTCTGAATCTTGTAATTGATATACTGATAAGGATTTTAATTTTTCTATCAACTCAATATTCGGTTCGCTCTCTGTGTAAGCAATTTCTAAACTATTATTTTTATCCTCTTGTATTAAATCGCCATCAGGAGGATAACGTGATAGCACATCTGCAACAATATTACGTCTACCCGATATATGCTGTACTTCATAATTAAATTGTTCTATATACAAAATCCATCGGGTTACTCTACCATTGAATAACTTCATATTATTAATAAACAATAATGCTTTATGATCAGTTAGTATTATTACTTTACTGCCCCTCAAATATGTTTCAAATTTCTTTAGGCAGCTTATTACAGCATAAAACTCTTGTTCAGTAACAGACCAATTTAATTCGGGGCCTTTTAAGGCTTTACTATGATAGCCTAAAATTCTCATTTCATTATTATCATCTATCTGATATAGTACTCCGGCCATACCCACACCGGAACAATCTGTTTGTAAATAATACGGCTTATTAAAGTCTGGATGATGCAATTGTATTGTATTAATAAATTGTTGTTTTATAAAATCAAATGCCTTCTGTTCTTTACCGCTCCATTGGAACTTTCGTCCCTTTTTAAGTAATTCACAGAGCGGTATTATGCTCTCGCTGTAATTTGGTATAAACCTTCTATAAAAATTGCATAGACCTAAAAAGGCCCTTAATTGTTTAATCTTTTTAGGTGCTGGAAACTCTTGGATCGCTCGAATCTTATCGGGATCTGTCTTTATGCCTTCTGTTGAAATTATAAAACCCAGCATTCTAATTTCTTTACAAATAAATTCACATTTCTGCAAGTTACACGTTAAGCCAGCTTTGTTCAATTTACTTAAAACAATATCAATGTGCTCCAAATGTTTATCTAACGTTCCTGTTGTAATAATGGCTAGATCATCTAAATAGTTCACACAAAATTCTTGGACTTCTGGTCCTAATATTAAATTCATGGCTCTGCTAAAGCTTCCTACTGATGTTTTTAATCCTTGCGGCAAAACATTATATACATATGACTTTCCATTGAATGTGAATCCAGTATATTTTCTACCATCTTTATTTATCGGAATTTGAAAATATGCATTATTTAAGTCAATGGTAGTGATATAATTCGCTCCGTGAAATGAATTCAAAATATCTAATTGTATAGGTGGTTTCTCTGTTTCTGCAACCATTTTCTTATTTATGCTTCTGGCATCAAGCAGAACTCTAATTGAGCCGTCTTTTTTAAGAGTGAATGTCAATGGACTACTGTAAGGCGTTTATGTCCTTGTGATGATACCAGCTTGTTCCATTTCATTTAACTTTTCTTCCATTTTCGCTCTATATGCATATGGAATGGGATAGGACCTAGTAACTATAGGTTCATCATCGATCATTTCAATTTTATGCTCATAGCAATTGGCTCTTCCCAATTTGCTCGAAAACATATTCTTATGCTTTTCCAAAACCTTACTAAGTTTTGCCCTTTCAGAGACCTCCAATGTAGATCCTATTTTTATATTTATTAAGGGATCATCGGTACATTGTTTGATGCAGTTATTATGTAATACAGATTTATTATTATATTTGAAAGGTATAAAGTAGTCTTTGTTTTTCACTTTAAATTCTATTCCAACAGTAGTATTTCTCAAATCAATCAATATTTTATTTCTCTTGAGCCAGTCAAAGCCTAATATTAAAGGTCTTATTAAATTACCTACAATTAAAGTTTGTGTTTCAAAGACTACTTCATCTATCTTTATAGGCAATATGATCATCTGTTGTATTTTTGTGCTGCGCTGCCCAACAGCACCTTTTATTTGCATTGCTTTAACTGGCATTATTGATATTTTACGATTATTATCTTTAATTTGTAAATATAAACTTTCTGAAATGCATGTAACATCGCTCCCAGTGTCAAGGAGCGCGTCTATTTCTTTGTCAAATATTGAAACTTTAATTTCAGATCTCATATTCCCTATAAATTCCCTTTGATATTTATCTTCGTCTTCCTCGAAGACGGTTTGCACGAATAACTCCGTTATGGGCAAGTCCGACCTGACTTTTAAGGTGTTTAATATGCTATTTACATTGTCGTTATAACCAAGGCCTTCTCTGTTAAAATTTGCTTTTAAAGTAATAGGTTTTCGCAACCCTCTATTGTTTTTACCCAATGTTTGACCAGGTCGCCAACCCAGTTTTAATAACATATTTAATGCTTTGTTCCCTTTTACATTGTAAGGGGTCGAATCGGGAACTAGTTCGACCTCTACAGCTCTAAATTTGGCTCAGGGGCCGTAACATCAGGTTGGTCATTAGTGAAATGTATTTCATGTACTTCATTAACCTTCTTTTTTCCCTCTTCGGGTTTACGCCATGTTTTGTATGATTGTTGTATTTCTTTATGTTTTTGCTCCGTATTATTATTAAACTTCCTCCTTTTCTCATTATAGTAATGTTCACGACCTTCATCTTGTTTGTCGATGTCATCTAAGTTTCTTAAGAAATCTGTCGTGTCTATTATTGTCTCAATTTTAGCTATTCTCCATAATTGCTGCACAGCTTTAGGATAATGTCTGATGACATCAGTTACTAATTGTTTTTCAGGTATCGGATATGATAATGTTTGTGCCTTCTCAACCACATAAAGAAAATAACTAACCATGGTGGGGTGTGTACTTCTATTCCATTTATTTTGCACAAGGAATCTCTTTACTTTATTTTGTTCTTCTTCACCCCAAAACACTCTTAGGAAGTCAGCTTTAAAATCATCAAAAGTTGTCCAACGCACATTATTAATGCGAGCCCAATACTTGGCTTCACCTACTAAGCACTCTTGTGCAATCGAAATTTCGAGACCATTAGATGGAACTTTCTTTAAATAATTGGTGAGATCTTCCAAAAATGATACTGGATGAGTATTTCCATTTCCGAATTTCGGCTTTTCTATTGTTACATTATGTACATTATATACAATATTTTGTCTAGGATCATTTACATGAGAGGTGCTTGCCCCGGACACCTCTCCTTGATTTATTTTAATTTGGTAATCTTTCGTTTGGTTAATAAATTTTTCCTCAAGATCCTTTATTTTAACCTCCAAGGTTTTCACTGCATTCTTAATTAATTTCTGAAGCATTTTCATCTCATCTTTAGGCTTAGCCTTAATTGAGGTTGATTTGTTCTTATTTTTAGCCATTTTTAATTTTTATTACCACTTGTTTTTTTTTTTTTTTTTTACACTTTTTGTGTCCTTCACTTACTTGTCCTTAACCAGGCAACAAGGGTTTTATTGAGTGATATTTGTAAAATTTAGGAATTTGTTTAAATAAAAATAAAGAAACAAAACCATGATTTTTTTAATTACATTTATTTTATTTTTTTTATAAAAAAGCCTGTGGTCCATATAAGTACCTTACCCTGTGTGGTAAACATGTTGTGGTCTCTATTGGTACCTTACCCTGAATCAATAGTAAAATTAAATTTCTTGAGTATTTATTTATTTTCTTTATTTGGATGAACATGTTACAAATTATGAGGCACATAGGGTAAATGAAACCTTTCAAAACATGGTGATATGCATAGTGGAACTTTGCATGAACTGCACTCTATTTTAGACCGCTTGGGATTAGTTCTAGTGCTGCAGAAACGGCAACGCCGTTTAGTTCCAGCTCGTGGCATGTGTACACCGACTTTGGCCAGTCGCACCTCATCCGAAATTTTGTAGACACCTCCTTTCTTATTTTTTAATATGGTGGAACATGCCTTGCGGGAACTAAAGTTGTTGACTAGGCCCCTGGCAACACGTAAACGAAATTGGCGATGACTACTATTGCGCATGACGTGTCCCTGGCTGTAGAGTATGTAGGCATTTATAAGAGCAGCTTCAAACAGGAACCAAAACAGGCGGAACCAGCTTTTCTTTGACTTGCGGCCTATAGAGTAAGAGCTCCTGAAGTGGTCAAAGCGATCAACTCCCCCCATATTTTTTACGTATTCTACAATGGCCAAAGGACAAAACATGTTTTTTTTTGTTCCATCTTTCTGTTTGCGTTTTATGATTTGTACCCTTTTTGGATCAAATGCAGTAGTAGCAACATACACATCTTTAGTATCCATCCATTTGATTACTGATATAGGAGCAGCATGTTGAAACATAAATTCTCCTGGTTTTAGGCACATTTGGTCTCTTGTTCCCCTCTTTACAGTTATTTCAGCTGGAAGGCCTTTTCGGTTGACTCGGATTGTACCCACAGCATATATATTTTTGTGATGGAGCATCTCCAGAAGAGGCAAACTAGTAAAAAAATTATCGAATGCCATTAATGTGTATGGTTGGACATTTCTACATAGATCCATTACCACTCTGTATCCAAGACCACCAGAATTTTCATCTGTTGAAGTGGCCTTACCTGTGTAAATATCAAATGAGTATAGGTATCCAGACTCAGAGTCACAGCGTGCCCAAATTTTGTACCCTCGTTTGATTGGTTTGTTTGGCATGTACTGTTTCATGCTACTTCGACCCTTGAACTTTACCATGCTCTCATCTATGCTTTGTGATGAAGATTGAGTACACATGCTTGAAAAATTATGGTTTAGAATTCCAATCAATGGTCTGATTTTAGCTAATTTATCATAATTTGAATCACTGCGTTCCAATTCAGTGTTTGGGTTGTTCACATGAAAGTTTTCTATTAGTTTTTTGTAACGTTTTAGGGTCATCACTCAGCTAATTACTGGGTTATTGTAAAAATCATCAGTGGACCAATAAAGCTCAACATCAGTCAATGGATTTAAGCCCATCATTATAATAACACCAAGCAAGGCACGCATTTCTTCATTATTTGTTTCTACCCAGTTTCTTGATTGATTTTTTATAGCATATAGATTAGTATTTTCCACCAGAATATCAATTATGTTTGATGTAAACATGTGTTCAAAGTAATCTATAGGCAAATGTCTGTTATTATAAGAAGTGGTAGGTCTAGCTTTAGTTTCAAAGACTGGAAATGCTTGATTTTCAATATTAGTTGACCAAGATCTGTCTTTTTGGATCAATTGAGTATAGGTGACAATATCACTAACTGGAGGAGATAATGGATGAACTGGAGATGGTGGTTGAACTGGATATGATGGTTGAACTAGAGATGGTGGTCGAAACGGAGATGGTTGTCGAACTGGAGATGATGGTTGAACTGGAGATGGTGGTGCAACAAAAATATTGGCAACTGTGCTAGTTGGTGTATTATAACCTTCAATCCCCAGGTTCTCAGGTTGTATTATTTGACTTTCTTGACCTGTTTCAGTTACAGGCTCAGCAAAGGAATGAGATGATGCTTCGTTTTTATTACTAAGTATATCTAGGAGCTCTTCAGTAGTGATATTTTGTATCCTATCTAGCCTTTTGTTCAAGATGTCAGAAAAATCTTCATTTAATTCATCATCGTCAGTATCCTCACCTTCTGATGACAACAGGCTTTGAAGATGAGCTTCAATATCTTTGTCTTTCAGCGGCATGGGCTAAAAAACAAGAAAACTCATCAAAATATGTCTTACAAATCGAGGTGCGTAATGGACAATGATCATATATGGACCACATAATTCAAGCAATCGTTACAATAATAAAAATAATGTTAACGATAAACAAAATACATTTAGATTGTGTAAAAACTCTCAAATATATGTTACTGAACACCAAACAATACTTACTGGATTTTTTTTAGGCATTTTCTACAATTTACTGCAACTAACACACAAAAACAATCATCTGTTGATCAAAAGTGAGAAATGTCAAATATTTTTTTCTTTTTTGTCTCTTAGGTGAGTTTCAATTTACTCCAACTGCTTTCAAGTCATAAAAAATATTATTGTCTATGACTGTTTGACATATTGTGGTCCTTAACTACATCTTGCCCTTTAAAATCACCCAAAAACTTAAGTGGTCCTCTATAGTACTTTGCCTGGTTAAGGGTTAATTGAGTTTTTCCACTTATTTCACTTTATAATATATAGTATTGCAGTTTTTTTTTTTTTTTTTTTTTTTTTTTTTTTTTTTTTTTTTTTTTTTTACACCTGTTGTGTCCTTCGCTTAGTTTAATTGAGTCTTTCCACTTATTTCACTTTTTATTATTTCGCTCCGTTATGCACACACCTCCTATATTATTACTCAATTTTAATATTTAAGCCCCACCCCCAGACTCTCAACCACCCCCAGCAAACACCACTCTCCAAGACACCTCTCCATTTCACTGACAACAAATTGTAGGCATATAGCCTACCTCATAATTTTATATTACCGGCCTCCTATTTAAAATTTAACCTCCATCCTGGTCACGGCACCAAATTGTAACGAACCCCCCCCCCCATCATTTTTCTCTTCTACTATATATCCACTTATACTTGTATTTCTTTAGAATCTATATCTGTAAGATATAAATATATCTAATTTACGTGACCAGTATAACTTGATCTTTCTAAAGGTTTAAATATAGGCCGTTTAATAAATGTATGGCGTGATCGTCTTAGTTAGGACCCTTTTTTACGTTGTGTTTGTATAGTAACTTAGTTCTTTTAGGTGTATCTTGGAAGAATGAATATTCACGAGAGCAATCGAAAGCTGTTGGTAGAGTCTTATAAGCTAAAGAACCCCGTTCACGAAGACAGAGCTCAAAAAGGTTAAGAACAATAAATTGTCCCTATTCCACTTGTATCTGGTTCACAACAGTCAATTCCTTATTAATTAATCCCTTCCCGCTTGGAAAAGGCTTACAATATTTATATCAAATACCAGTTACAAGGGCTTCGCTATCCCACATTTTAAAAAAAATGTGGAGGAGGTACACGGCCCCACACACGCCGCGCACGGTGAGCGCCAACCATTTTAATGCGCTCCCCCCGTAGGGTACGCAAAGTTGGGAACTGGACCGTAGTCCACAGCAAAATAACTGGCGAACCAGTAAAAGAAGACTTGGCCCCTTGACAGTGCGTAAGCACAAACATCGACCGAAGTCGCGCATGTCAATGCGTGTAAAACGCCATACAGAATACGATCAAATCCAGCCACAGTGAATGTACGTCACACGGGTTAGGCAACAATAGGCACACTGACCATAAAAAGCCTTCCGTGAGCGCCACCACCTGCCAGACCGCCGTTCCTGCAGACGTGATGTAAGTGTAAGGCATCACCACCAATTGCATGGTCAGCACGGCCAATTGGCCGCAGAGCGTGTCATGAGTCTACCGCTCACCTCAAGGGAATGGGGTCCCACGTTGCGCGGCTTTCGGCCGCAGCCTTGAGAGCCTCCTCAGATTCTCCCTCCAGCTACCACCCGCATGAGGTCAACACATATGCTCCACCAACCAATACAATGGCAGATATAGCCAATAGGCAGTTATAAGATAATATTAATAATTCGCCATCAGAAAGGGTTTGTGTCACTGACGTTGAGTATATGCATTTTTCGATCATGTTTGTCTCACCCACCAACAAGTTGCCTTCAATCTCTCAAAGGTGGGAACTTTATAGAGATATATTATTAAGTTGTTATATAAAACATCATGGAGGGCAGACAGTCTGCAGCCCCGCAATGAAGGGACCCGACTTGGGCAAAGCTACTTAGGTTGTGAGTCAAACGCTTTCATAAGCTCCGCTGTAATTCCATCCTCGCCTGGGGCCTTACCATTTTTAAGGTGCTGGAGAGCCATTCTGATCTCGCTCAGACTGACGTCCGGGATATCTTCGGAATAGTGTCAGATGAGACTCGCTCTTGGATCGTTACTCACACTTGCGTGTGGCTCCAACGATGACGTGTACAACTGCCCATAGAACCTCTCAATCTCACTCAAAATCTCAGGTGTCCCGGAAACGATGCTGCTACATTCCGTCTTCAGCTTTGACAGTTGGCTCTTTCTGGCAGACAGATCTCTGGCAAAGACTTTGGAGCCTTGGTTCCGCTCGATCGCTTCTTCAATACGAGCTGTATTGAAGTTGCGTTAGTCCCGGCGCATGCGTTTGGAGATCTGTCTGTTCAGTTGCCTGTATGCTGTCAAATCTTTTGAAGAATGTAGCTTTATATCCCGTCTAACAGTCATGAGATTAAGAGTGTGATCGAAGAGTTTTTGTGTTCTTCATCGGCGGGTCTTGCAGAACTTAACTTCGACCGCATGAACAGTTTCCACGAGCTTGTCATTCATATCGTCCACTTCATTGCAAACTTCTAGGCACTAAAATCGGTTTTTTAACTCGAGCTGAAATGTTTCGGGACTTTGGAACAGAGCACGAGGGGGACGGAGCGTTGACTTAAATAGACGAGACCTCTCCAACTTAACGTTTAGGTTCAGTGTGCCTCTAAACATTCGGTGATCGCTACCAGTTTTCACCCTCACGATCACGGAGACATCAATGAACTGTTGTGATCTGGTCGTCATAATGAAGTCAATCTCATTTTTTGTGGATCGTCGGGGCTCGACCAGATCCACTTCCTGTGGGGCCGCTTCTGGAAGAAAGAGTTCGTCATAAAGAGTCCCTCTTTCTCCATGAAGTCGGCCAGCTGCTGGCCCCTTGGGTTCCGTTGCTCTATTCTAAATTTCCCTACTTTCAGCTCACCGTTCTCTCTTGTGCCTAGTTTTGCATTGAAGTCTCCCATTAACACCGTACATTGGGTTTTGAAGGAATGCATGGCTCTAGATATATCCTCATATATTTCCTCCACCTCCTCATTGGGGTGTGCAGAGTTTGGTGCGTAAGCCTGTATGGCTTTCAGCGAATACCGTTTGGTGATTCTGAGTATAAGGTACGCAACCCTCGTCGACACACTCTCAATCTTTACAACTTTGTTAACGAGAGACTTGTGGACGATAAATCCGACACCTCCTTGGGACAGATGTTCGCCCTCCCGGTGAAAGAGCAAGTTGCCGGATTCGAGAATTACCGTGTCCTCCCTCTCTCTTCGGACTTCGGAAAGACCTATAATATGCCAGCGTAACTTGTCTATCTCTTCTTCCAACTCCACGATCTTCTCGTCAGTCCTCAGAGTGCGTGCGTTGTATGTTGCCAGGTCAAGTCGTCTTAGATGGCAACCGAACCTCCACCGGAGATTCTTAGACTACCTACACACCATGTTAGTATATAAATAAATAAAGAGAGATTGTCCGACTGGACCAGTGTAACCTTTCACTAAATAAAAATATTTTCAGCGACACAGAAAATTTACACATAGATGAATTATCTGTATAAACTTTGTTGGATTTCGTTAGAATTAAACTTCTTTTATCACTAAGAGGCTGCCATTCGAGAAATATACTACAATTTAATTCCCAAATACCCAGACCTTGCAGACTTTTAAACCATTATAATGTAGTGGATATTCACAACGAATCTTTTAACAATAAAATTATCAATAAAATATTATATCTTTGTAATATTTTTTGTATTATTTTATTTTTAAATTTTGTATTGCATATTATTAGTTATTATATATCGTTAAAATGTGCAATTAACTTATGTTACTTTCTTAGGATTAAGCATAAGTATTAGTTTAATATTTGTAGTTAACCAAATAAAAAATAAATTACGGATTTTATTTCACAGGGAAACTCAAATCGTAGCTCCCTCCATAGCTCGTTAAACTAGCGTAAATATTCTCATTCTTTAGTAAGAATGAAATCATCCCCAACAATAAGAATTTTAAAAGACCTTACCTTGTGCTACTTATTACCTTTGCAGCGTTTATAATTTGATGCTTAATTCTGTTAGTTAATTACATTTACAAGTCGTCGGCAACGTTCGACCAAGTTAGAAGCCCTCCGGTTATCCCCCGTTAATTATGACAGAGTTTGTGGACGGTCCATATTAAAAGCGCAAAAATGGTTAAAACAAATGAATTATTTTACGTAATTTTGTATATCATGTAGGATCTAACAGTGCCCGTGCTATTTAAGGGGCTAAGCGTGAGTAGCAAATTTTACAGTTTTTTTTTTATTATAAAATAAGAGTGTGTAACTGACAGACGGTCCACCTGATGGTAAGTGGATGTTGTGGCCCATACAAATTTATATATATCTTATATAAGAATCATATTACAGATACGTTGTCACTCATTTCCATTACTCACTCATAACCAGTGGTAAATAAAATAATGACTTTCAATAAGTATTATGGCCATTAGTAGAGTATTATATCCATATTGAATAAAAATCATTCTATTCTATTCTTTTCTATTCTAGTATTAAGGGTCTCCGGTTCTCTACACACGCCGTACATGTCATAAGGCAGCCAATAAGTCTTCCTTATTACATCGCTTATTTACACCGGCAGAGATTCACGAATTACAATTCACCACTATCAATAATTCACAGGTGTAATTACAAAAGCAATTATGGTAACAAAATTTCTCTTTAATATAACTACTAGTAACAGTAATAACCTCTTTCTTGAAAGGTTTCAAGGGCAGGAAAGATATTCAAAAAAAAATTCTGACAAATGCATTCTTTTACACAATTCTTTATTCACCGCTGAC